CTGGGATCATGACCTGAGCCGAAGGCAGACGCTTAACAACTGAGCCACCCAAGCGCCCCGGAAATTAATACTTTCGAATGCTTACTACGTACCAGACATTTACACATCATTTTAATCCTCAAACCAAATCTCTCAAGTAGGGATTATTATCGCTACTTTATAAATGAGAAAAGTGAGCTACAGAGATAAAAGAACAACCAAAATCATACAGCCAGACAGAGCCAGAATTTGAACCCAAGCCTCCCAGGATTCCAGGGTCCTCCCTCTAGAGAACATTTATCGTCTCATAAAGCCACAATTTTAAAAACACAGCACTGGAGAAAAATCATCTCAACATTAAAGAGTAAGTTTGGCTCTCAAGTCTATGCTCTTAACCATCCCACTAAAAACAAACCTGGAGAAGTATGAAGACATGGAAATTCCAAATATGAAAAAAGTTAAACAAATTATAACAATTTAACCTGAGATCTAAGAAAGTGACTTTGCATAAAAAGATGGTGAAAAGCTGTTTTGCACTTCTGCAAAGTTAGAGAGAAATACACATTTCTTGGTGAGTTTGTTAAAAACAAAAACAGGTTAATCAAAGCAGTTGTGAAATCTGCTTCTCTGAAGTTACTTAAGTATGAGGCAGATCCACATTTGTCTAAAGGGAATTCAATGACAGGCAGGCTCTAATAGGATGTGGAATTAGCTATCCGTCTAAAGTGTCCTAACACAATGAGCTTAAGAGTTTTTTTTTTACACGTGCACCTCAATTATAAGTAGTTTCTTTGACATGGAGGCTTTGTGCAAATGATATTACATAACAGACATATAATAAAATATTATCTATCTGTATACCACACATAATACTCACACAGGATTGAGGGTTTTCCTATAGTCAGAAATCTGTTTTCTCATAAAAATTATATTTCTCTGGGTGCCTGGCTGGCTCAGTCGGTGGAGTGTGCGACTCTTGATCTCAGGGTTGTAAGTCTGAGCCCCATGTTGGTTGAAGAGATTGCTTAAAAATAAAGTCTTAAAAAAAAATTGTATTTCTCATCTCATTTAAGCACATTGTTAACATTCTCCGGAATCCTTCATTTATATCTTCTTAGCATAGCATGTACATGTATGGCCTCATGAAAATGGACCAATATAATCCTATTTTAAATAGGCATCCAAAGTAAAATTGTTATATTGTTCTGTAGAAATTGCTTTTTAAAACTAAGACGATTTCAGGGTTCCTGGGTAGCTCGGTCAGTTGAGCATCCGACTCTTGATTTCAGCTCAGGTTGTGGTCTGGGGTCGTAAGATCGAGCCCAGCGTCGGGCTCCAGGCTGGGCATGGAGCCTGCTTAGGATTCTCTCTCCCTCTCCCTCCCCACTCCCACCTTCTCTCGCTCTAAAAAAAAAAAAAAAACCAGAAAAACAAAAACTAAGACAATTTAAACCATCTTATTTTCTTCTTATTTCTCTTTCAGGAAAATGCAGGTGTTATTTAACCCATCCTCTTACAACAGCAGAACAAAAAGGAACTGAAACTATAGTACTTCCATTTTAGAGTAAGAAAAATTGAGTCCCCCAAAAGCCACAGATATTATTATCGTTATTTTTCTGATCCTTAAAAAGAAAGTCTTTTTTTTTTTAAGATTTTATTTATTTATTTGACACAGAGAGCAAGAGAGCACAAACTGGGGGAACAGTAGGAGGGTGAGGGAGAAGCAGGCTCCCCGCCAAGCAGGGAGCCCGATGTGGGGCTCGATCCCAGGACCCTGGGATCATGACCTGAGCCGAAGGCAGACATTTTACCATCTGAGCCACCCAGGCACCCCTATTTTTCTGATCCTTAAAAACAGAATCATCAGAAGAAATAGAGAATTGACATAACAGCCAAAATATAAGAGCTGTAACATGTTAAAATCTTTTCTAAAAAGTAACTCACCGGAGTTTCCTTCCTTTGCTGGCTTTCCTATCTACTTTCTTGTGGATTTTGCTTCGTAACTTCTGGATCGCAAGCCACTGCCTGGGAAATTCACAAGCAATGTTATGCATCATCACTAACAGAAATAGTTATACCTATTGACAAATTGGAATTTTTCTCACTAACAACCCTGCAGAAAGACATCATCAACCCACATCAAGTTCCTCAAGATAGTCTGGGGCCAAAGCGACTAATCAATTGAAAAGGATTTGTGCAATGGTAAAAAAAAACAAATGGCAGCTGGGAAATTCTACAGCGAATTTGGTTAACAATGCTCCTTAGTATCTAGAGTTGCTGTTGACAGGCACTAAATCTCGCAGCCCACAGGAAAAGCCAGCAAACTGAGTAGAGCTGTTTGGGTTTGCTTTCAACGTTTTAGCTGTGCAGGATGTTCTATTGTTATTATTGCAACTGCTGTTCGGTTTGAATACAGGATTCCTTCAATTTTCCCTTTGTTAATACCGAAGTGCTTTTTCTGGCACTTTCCAATGTTTGCTAATTTTTTATAATTATCCACTACTGACATTAGTTTTGCGGCCATTTTATTTAATTTTCATTTCATGTGTAGTATTTAAGAATGTGCTGCTGAGAGGTAAGGGTTCTTTCCCAATATAGTCTCAATACGATTGTCACACCTACAAAAAAGTTACCAGTAATTCTTTACTACCAAATACTGAGTCAGTCTTCAAATTTCCCAGATCATCTCACTTTTACAGTTAGTTTGTTTGAATCAGGACCCAAACAAGATTCACATATTCTGCAGTCATTTTAGATGAAAAGGAATTAATTTTTCAAATAATGGATACTAGCTAAGAAAAATCTTCGTAAATTCCTCATATGAACAAATGTGAAAAAAAGGAGAAACAGCAGCAGCTAGTCATCTTACCTGACTTAGACAACGAAAACTCAACATCAGAAAAAAAATAATCTAGGGAAATCCAATTACTATAATCTTAATATAATCTTAATTACCATAATCTATTTTATTGTAAAGCCAGATAAATGTACAATATAATCACCACTTAAATGCAATTTGCTATATCACATTAAATTTATAGTGAACAGCTCTCTATTGCATTCCAGAGATACACAAAATATCAACAATATCCTATCCTAAAACCCAAATAATGTTTTACTCAAATAAAATTATTTCATCAACACAAATTTTTCATTGCATTCTCAGAATGCTGCTTTGCCCGCAATCCCATTCTGGCACTTGCAGCTTTTGTTTCCTTTCATGCTTTTGCAAAGTATGGCTCATGGCTATTTACATGTACACTGTTCATTAGGTAGCACTCTAAATGCCCTTTTTATTTTCCAACCACAGGAGGAAGCATACACACAAGAGCCTTCCTTCACTACTTTACATTCTACCCTGACATCTGGGTAATGCTGCCACGTTCCATTTCTAATTGTGCCGAGGCTTTTACTGAAGGGTGGAGGTCTAAATTAGGGCAGACTCAAACAAAGCAGATTCAACTATGAGCAAGGAACCTGTTGTGCACTGTGCCACATTCGGACAGCTGAGAAACACATTTGGGTGGTTGCTTTTTATCCAGTGGTCAGAGACTGATACAGATACAATCAGAGCCCAAATCAGAAAGCAAAGAGCCTAAGAAGGACTTTGAAAAACAAACCCTAAAACAAAGACATAGAGGTGTTTTATAATCTCTTATTCAACTGCACTTAAGGCAAGGTGTAGGGTAAACAGTTAGGATTTCCATCACTTTGTCTTTCTAGCTCTTTTTGTCTTAACTTTTTTTTTTTTTTTATGTTGCTTAACTTTTATAATTACGGGGCCAATCACTGCCTTTGAGGCAGAATTAAGGGGACTCAAAGGGAGAAATTATTATATAGGCTGCTTTCATGAAGAGAAAGCCATATCTAAATTACCTTCCCATGGCCACCTGATCATTGGGATCCAAGGAGCTGGTCTTCCGTTCTATGAGTTCTCGAAGGAGCTATGGGAAAAAGGAAAGCAACTGATTTATTTATCATCTCCCAGCACCAAGTGACTTTAAAAGGGCACAGGAGGAATTCTGAATGGCATAGTGACAACTCTAAAACTACAATCAATAGGGGACAACCCAGTGGCAAGAGCATGACTGAATTCCCATTAACCCTTTCATGTTTATATATCTTTAAAAAGGTGGCTATAGCAATAGCTGAGAACAGAAGTCCATTTGGAAGACTTATTGTACTGCAGTTCATTTCAAATGGATCAAAGAGTGTGCAACATTCCCTTCACTGTTTTTATGATTAGTTTTGTCCACCTCATCGATACCATTGGAAAATCTTTAAAAGGTCAGGTGGGAAAGGCTGTATGGCAAAAAGGAAAATGCATCAGCTTCTCACCAATAGGATAATGTACATGGTTAACTTCTGACCTATAACCTCCAATAGTCAGGAAGGTCTTCCTCAGGCAAAAGCCTTTATTACATATAATTAAAAGTGTGAACTTCATTCTCTTGCTTTCCATGGCTGGTACTCCACCATGCTTACTATGAAGAGATTTAACCATGTATGACACCAACACATTCACAGCCACGACAATTTTAAAAGGGATCCTGACAGAAATCATATGTGTGTGCTGCAAATACAACAGAGAGAACCAGTCTCTCTTCCCATACAACGAACTCCATGGGCACTCTGAATTACTCTCCTACTCTCCTCTTAGTCCTGGGCGGTCCACTACGACCAGAGTGTAAATCTATACCTTTTACATAGACTTAAGAATTTGCACTGGATCTTAAAGTCCTTGGTGAAGAGAAGTAATGTTTAGAAGTTAAACATTAGGTAGGGGTGCCTGGCTGGCTCAGTCGGTAGAGCATATGACTCTTGATCTCAGGGTCGTGAGTTTGAGCCCCACGTTGGGTGTGGAGCCTGCTTAAAAATAAAGAAAGGTTAAACATTAAAGGAAGAGAGTTTTTTTTTTTTTTTTTTTTAAGATTTTATTTATCTATTTGAGAGAGAGAATGAGGTACAGCGAGCATGAGAGGGGGGAGGGTCAGAGGGAGAAGCAGACTCCCTGCTGAGCA